AGAAAAGAATTCTCATGGATAATATGATATATTTTTTCATAAAATGACTACCACAGTAGAAAAACATATTCGAATTGAGAGTGTCTAATGAAATTATTAAATATTTTCAAATGATTTGATACAACTAATTAGTTCTATATGTTTATAAAATAATTGTATTATGAACTGTAAACTACCAATACTTCATATTCTTTTGAAACGTTTTAAATTCAATACAAAATCTTTTGTGTATTCATAACTGATAGATATTTAAGATAAAATTTGTCATGAAATGTGAAAGTTTTTAAATATTAATGTATTTCTGTATAGTTCAAAAAACACTTAACTACTATAAGAAAAAGTATGGAAAATGTCGTTGATAATTTATCATCAGTTATTGTGAGATACTCTTTAAAGGTGAAAAAATAACTGAGTTCATACAATACCAACATAAGTCTAGACTATTACTTATTAAGTTCTCTTTTATACCTTTCAATATCTTTTTTTATTCTATTAAAAAGAAAATGTTCATCTGACACAAAAAATGAATTAAACATTAGAATAAAAATCATCTTGAAGTGCACAAGCAAGTGCACGTAATGGTGAATCAATCATTCGAGGTAAAAATGGTTTAAGAACAATTGAAATAAATTGTTTTGTTTGATTAAATTCTGTTTTTAATTTCATAATATGTTCTATTTTAATTGAATCAAAACCTAATTGCCATCGACGTGCAAATATTGTAACAATTTCAAATAATTTCATTAAATGATCACGTATTGCTTGTTGTTTTGGTTGTAATAGACTACCAATTGAAAGAGCTGTAAGAAATTTTTCATGAAACATTATCATAGATTCAATATCAATCGATTTATTTGAATGTTTTTCAATAAATTGTTCACCAGCTGTATGAAACTAAATCAAAAACATAACAAAAAAAGAAGTTTAGATTCAATTTTAATTTCAAATACATACGGTAGTAAGTACAAAATTATTAACAGCATTAACAGCATGAAGAAGACGAGCACGTAAAAGAAACATTTCATGATGAAGATGATATGATTGATAACGATATAATTGACGATTACGAAGACGAGATTTAACACGAAATTCTTTAAGAAACAAAAGAATAAAAGAACATTCAACAGCATATACTGCAAAACGAACAAGATAGTATAAACCAAAAGATTAAGTATCCAAAAAGAATTATCATATGGTTATGTATATTTTAAAATGGTCTTCAGTTATATTTAAACTTGATGAAATATTAACATGTGAAAATAATATTGAAGTCATTAGCTTACATATACAATCATCAATTATATGTAATGGGATAAAGTTAAAAATTATGATGAATTAACTAATCCCATAAGAAAAGAGATTCATCTTTTACAAAAGAAAAAAACAATTGATCATATTCGCAGCATCAAAAATTCGTCGCACAGAGTTTTATTCATTTTGAAAAGAAAAAAGTGCAACTATAAAATAATCTCTCCTTGATAAAATGTAGAACTTTTCATGCGCCATCCTGTGTCATACTTTTTTTTCTAAATAAAATATATTAAGCGATGAAAAAAATGAAATACTAAATGTGTTCATTCATTATGTCTCACTCTTTACTTCGGATTAAAAAAATACAATACTAATGTAGAACTGACCACATAGTGGCTTATAGCATTTCAAGTACCAATATAAGGGTTCCTTCTCAAGGAATGAGAATGCATCTCAAATAGTGTTTTCTAACATTTTTTAAAAATAAACCGTGATGTGCACATATTTTTGCTTATTGTTGTATGTGAAAGTGTTATGCATTCTGAGTGCTTAGGACTCGAAAATCACAACCCGACTATTCATTTATAATTAGCATACAATGACAGTTAATATTAATCAAAATATTCTGACAAAAAGAATTTTCATAATTCACTCATAATCAAAGAATAATGATTGAATTTTAAATTATCATAAACGATGTTTAAAACGATTAATTTCTAATGTCTATTAATAGAGTACAATATTATGGATAAGTAATTACAAATAGAAGTGTAAGCCGATGGGTTGATCAGCGACAGCGGTGAAAAGTTTTTAATTGTTTTAAATCTTCGGCAACGGCTGAAAATTTCGAAACTGAATAATGATTTAGATAATAAGAAATGCCCGTTTATTTCAATATCTGATTAATAATAATTTCAAAAAAGCTAAATGAAATAACTATATTTCGCACGTTAGTTTAATCAAGACATTACATGTAGGGAATATGAAGATGAGTAATGAGTTACTAAATAACTTTGCCCAAAATTAAGAGATCCAGTGATCCTAAGGATGGACATACCTAATTGATATATATCAAGATGCCAAAAATGTTATTCAGTTTAGTTTTTAACGATAGAGTCTGAAAGACCACCTCTACAAAAAACATGAATTTTTATCCATATTCTAGCTGTTGTTTTAATTCTACAGCTTTTGTTGTATAGCGTCTTAAAGAAAACCGGAAAGAAATATAATAATTTATTGGTTTCGTTTGCTAAGTTTCTACCACTTGATGGATTGATAATAAGGGATTTATCATATTGTCTGTGCCTCATTTATCACTTTACACGCTAAGTTTTTCTTTCGATTGAGGATAAAGTATCATATTTTCGTTCAAATTTTCACTTATCGAAGCAAATTTTGCAATAAACTCGTTGAATATCTAATATTTCATTCGCTCTTTTGTGCAAGCCACAACAAATAAATTATCGTTTTAGTATATTCAGTAGCTTTATTAGAGTCATAAGACTTTCATTGAAATTATGAAAACTCGTTATATCAGATGAAAGGTTCAGATACGAATCCAGCTTAAACCACCAACATTAATAAAAATGCTTTACATTTCTATTGTTCCGGATACAGAGTATTAATTTTTCATACATATAAACAACCGAAAAGATTAAGAAGAAATTTCACTATTCAAACATAAATGAAAATAGATTTTAAAAAGATTTCGATTTTCGCATCAAGACTTCGGTGGCGGTGGCTCAGCCGCACGGCTTACACCCCTAGTTACGAATACTGCCTATTTTTGATTATTCAATAAAATCACCTCGAAAATTTTTTTTTTTGCTAACCCTTATTTATAAACTATCACAAACAAAAGATATAGTTTCCTTTTTTTTTTCATACCACTAAAAACTAATTGATCAAGAACATATTTTGCTTGTTTAACTTGAAGAACAAATGCAAAACATTTTTGATAAATTTCCATTTGTTCTGGTTTAATAATAATAAATAATTCCTTTGGTAAATCATATTTTAATTGAACATTTTGTATAATATATTTTTGTATTGTTGATAATTCATTTGATGATTGATATATAACACTTAATGGATATGTAATTTTATCAAGTCCAAACATTGTTAATGTACTATCAAATGAAACAAGTACAGTAAATGCATCTAAACGTTCATGTATTGTTTGTGATAATTTTGAATAAAGACGTAAAGCAAATTGATGCATAAATGAACCATTTTCAAAAAGAAAAAAATCTCTTATGTATTTAATATGTTTTAAATATTTTAAACGATTAAGTATATCATTTGTTAATTTATCAATTAATTGATTACATTTTATAAGTAAAATTTGTTCACTAAAATTTTGAAGAATACATTCAATATTTGTTAATTGATTAATATCCGATGAAAGTGATAATTGATTACTGAAACAAAAACAATAAATTTAAATATTCATGTTCAGTTAACCGGAGAAAAATATTGAATATCTCTGCAATAGTTTAAACAAATAGACTGATTTTTTACCGATGATACAATAAAAAATAACTGTGCGTTAACTTTTTGTCTGAGAGTAAATAATAAATAGATCAAATCTTGATCCATTTACTAGTTCATGCACATAAAGAGTGTCAGATATTGGTAGCAAAGTCTACAAGAACGTAGACTCACAACTTCCTAGTCTCCCCTGTTGATACACAGCTTCTGAATCCATATTTTTCCCAATAGTAGCGAACCAGCTGTTCATAATAACCATCAACAGATTCGTTCTTTTATGAAGTTTTGGCCAAGATGTTAAGTTTTTCTCTGTAGGACGCTAACTTTTCGATAAACTCCTAATTTCAAATTTTTGGTCTGAAAACTTGCCGCAATCAAAGTCTCAATGAGGCTAACTCGTGTACAAAAAGTTCAGAATTTTTCTATGTAGTATGTCCGAGACATGAATTTTTTTTCAAAATCTCTACGTTTTACACAATATCAATGGAAAGGTGCTTAGATTTTGAAAAATTGATCCCTCTGAAATACTACATGCAATAATTCAGAAACTTTATGCACGAATTCACTAAAAATTCAACATTTCAGTCAAAACTTCATAAAAGAGTGATGAACAAGTACTCCGCTACTATTTAGTGAAGTATGGACTCAAAAGCTATGGACCAATCTGAAAATATCTTCCATCGGAAGTATTGTATTTCTATGTATATGAATCATGAATACTCATTTACTATCAGTAAAAGAATAAGTCTATTTGATCAAACTATGGAGGAGATATTGAATTTTTTCTGCGGTTAACTAACTGTTAGGTCATTCTGTATTTTACCGATTTATTTCGAGTAAAGTCGTTTTTGATGTTTCCATTTGATTAAATACTAATGCTAAAAATGAATTTTTTTTATTGTCAATATCATCAAATGGTAATTGAAGATATACAAATGGATTCGATGAAGATTTTGCACTATTCGCTATTTCTGATTTATGTAAAATATTGAGAGGATTCCAAGATAATTTTTGTAAGTTAAAATTTTTTTCAAGATGTTTAGAAAATTCTTCAACAAATGATTGAGATTCTTCATTATCTTAAAGACAAAAAAAAAGGATATCAAATACGTTTGATTATTTTCTTTTTTCTTTTTTTTTTACTTCTTAAAACACCATTTGATTTGAGAATCTCAGCACATTTGCCTGCTTTTATAAGTGAAGGAACAATAGAGGCTAACCATTTTGGTATCAATCTGTATTAATGAAATAAAATAAATCTTATGGAAAAATTAGTTCGACAAACTTACGATGCATTTTCTACTTGTTCAGTATATGATAATTGCCAAAAATCAACCGATTCGACAGATATATCTGTTTTTCTGTAATATAAAAACAAGAAATATCTTAATAGAAAAGCAAAAAGAAAAATAATGCGTCAAAGTAAAATTGAATGTAGTTCTAATGACTTGGAATAAATGATCCCGAATTCGAAATTGATAATACCGAAAACAGTCAATTTTACTCATGTCTACAAATGATTTCAATCACACAGAACATATTTCTTCTGCCAATGCGCTTTATTCGAATCTTTTGACTAAAATACATCGAAGCTCTTTTATTAAGACATATAATCAATGTCTTTGTATTCTTTATTCATTTGCTAACATAAGAGTAATAAAGTCATTTCCAAAGGTCGTTTCGGATTACAAAAAATTTTCCAGATCAGATAAACATATTCGATGGTTCTTTTGTCGTTTGGTAGGCTCAGTATTATAACCGTATTGTAAACAGTCAGATAGTAGATTTTCAGATCGTTATCAACTTTGTATAGCACAAAAACCTATGGTGGTAATACTGTGCCTATCAAACATCAATTTATGATCACAAACTATATATGAAACGGCAGTATACAGTACTGTCTTTGGTTTTTTTGGTGACTGTAATCGTCGTCTTGAATTTTTTTTCATATAACCAACTAGTCTTTGGATTCTTATAGAAATAATTGATTTTCATCTCCAGTCTAAAGAATAACTTACGAGCAAAACATTCACAGGTGTCAATTCGCATTTGAGTCAACACTATATATATATATATTATATAGGTCTTTATAACCTATAAATACTCTGAAAAAGATTCCTGCTCCTAGCTTATTGCTGCTGAGTTATTGCATTTTTTTAGCGTAGTGTTGTACTATCCTTCAGAAACACTAGGAAAACTCAGCTTTGAATTTTGACTTCGAACTGTACGCAAAGATTTCAAGGAGAATAATCTATATAGGATATGCATTCACTATAGCCGTCTCTTAAAAAGATAAAAACAACTAAAACATATGAAACTTTCGCAGTAAATTATTCTCATGGAGATCTTATTCGTTGCAAAATTCGATGTCAAAATTCAAAAGTTCAGCTCTCCTAGTGTTGTTGAAGGGTATTACGCTAAAAAATGCAATAAGTTAAGAATATCTGAAAATTTTTTCTCGTTAGATTGACTGATATAAATCGCACCTGTTTACGTAAAACTTACGAACTCTATTGATCTCTATTGCCTGATATTTTTTTTGTTATGATATATATTGAATTTAAAATGAACGACATATGTTTTATTTAGTAGTATTGAAAAAATATTTTTAAATAATATTTTACCGTTTAATAAAAAATTCATCAAAAGGATCATCTATAAATCCATTGACAAGCCAATTTTGAATTATTTCCAAATAAATTCGATAACTTGATATAAAAAGTGGTAATAAAAAATTCTAAAACAAAAAAACATTTTTTTTCACATGAATAAAATATTTAAATAATCGACAAAAAAAAAATCTTACAAAAAATATTAAATTATTAATCATTTCTGATATAAGAAGATTTTTATGTAAAATATGTATAAGTTCAAGTGTTAAATCATAATTTGGTTTGTTATTATAAAATGATATTTGATCAAATATACGTTCAATACATATTCCTTTAGAAATTATTCCAAGTGAATCTAATTCTTCATGAAATGATAAAACTGTATATGTATAATCTATAGAAAAAGAAAGTCAAGAAAAATAAATAAATTTCTCGCAAAAAAAAAAACAAACAAACTCTGTTTAAGACAATTTCGTTCGATATCAGCTAATTGATATTGAATTAAATTCATTTGATCTTGAAGTGCTTGTGCAAATGATGATAATGTTCGACAAGAATAATTAATTTCTTTTAAAAATTGATATGCTAATCGTAATTGATTAGAAAGTTTAGTAAATTTTTCTAAACAATCTTGAATAGTAACCTTTTAAAAAAATGAAACTAGTTTATTCGAAAAAAATAAGAGAAACGTTTATTTATTCTTCGTACTGGAGTTACATCACAAAGACGAACGAAATCAGCAGTATGTACTTGATTATTTTCATCAATAACATAAATATGTAATTGTGTAGAGTTCATTAATAGCCTAAAAAATAGGAAATAAGAAATTAAAAGAAAGGATCTCACAAACGATAAAATGAGAAATTTGCCATTTAACCGCAGTATTCAATTTATGAGCAGAAAAATGTTAAATAAATCTAATTTTAAATACACCTGTATTTCGAATACATAAACCAATGAACCATATCGATTACTTATCAGTGATAGAAATGAAATCCACTACATCAGACGATGTAGAATCTTTGATACTGTACCATAATCGACTCTCTCCAACGAAATTCCTGTCATGAGTCCCTGTGGAAGTTGCATATCTCAGGATCCCCCTAAAACTCCTTGGGGAGTTCCTCTAAAATTTTCATAAATTTGAATTTTTCAGAAAATTCCAATGGTGGCTTCTGAAGAGACCCTCATAATACTCATCAATTCCCTGGAAAGTACCTAGGAAGTCTCCAGGAAGTCCTTGAATCCCCTCTTAACTCCCCCAGGGACTCACGACAGAGATTCCCACCGGATTCTTCTAGGAAGTCTCGACTAGTGTATATATTTAAAGAAACTTATAAAGGATGTCAAATTTTCAATTTTATCGTGCGGAGTTCTTTTATTTAATTTACCAAAGAGTTTCTCGAATAAGAATATATTCCGTTAATGTTTGTGAATTAACTCGATAAGCTAAATGAGTTGTTTTAATCATAGTTTGATCCCTAGAATAAATATAAATAATAAAGATATATTTTTATATTAATATTTTACCAGAAAAGAGCAAAATCACGAAGAGCTGGTGAAACATTATCAGATAATGTTCGATACCAATATGATGGAATAATTTCACGATCAAGTACTGAACTATAATAATCAAATTTAATTTTCAAAAAAAAAATTTTAGAAATAAAATTTTTTGTTTTTCTTTTACTAATTTTGTTGTTCGATATCATCAATAGGTTTTGATTCAATTTGAATTTCTTCACTATCATCATTTTGAATAAATGTTGAATCAATTTTATCATCATTATTGTCATCATCTATACTATCATCCTGAAGAAATCAAAAAATAAAATAATTTATTTTGAAATTTATTCAGTGTTTACATCATTCCAATCAGTCGAAACTATTGATTGTTCACCTTGATTACCAAGTAAATATGCAGGCCAGTCAAAATTTGCTTCTTCTATATAATACAAATAAAAATTTTACGATGAAATTGAACATTTTTGAAATTGTTTTTTTTTTTCTAGATGTGACATAAATCATGAAGGAAACTGATAATGAATTTAAACTCACGAGACAATATTCTCAATTGTTCAATCACTTTTTCCTTGAGACTATCGCCATTCCATCGATCATAATGAGTAGTAAAAAAAATTTAATTTTTCGGCCTTCGTCCTATGAGTGTAGAATCATTGAGAACCTGGACAATTGAATTAATATCTCGATAAAGATAAGTTTCGACCTAGCTCAAATTTTGTAATGTTTCTAATGACTCTATCTATGAACAAAATTTTAGCTTGAATTTCGATCACGCAAATTCTTAGTGATTCTATGTTCATAGGGCGAAGATCAAAAACTAAAAACAAAACGAACTTTTTTACTACTACTCTCATGATCGATCGAATGGAAATAACAGTTCCATTGAGAATTTTATTTGTATAAAATTTGAACTCGAAACTTGATAGTCAGTTTTGAAAGGGATCTAAGGGAGATTTGCGTCATTTTGTTGAAAATTTCACTACAATGACTATAATTCAAAAAGAAACACCGATGAACAAAAACTATTTTATGCTTTGTCTAATCTTAATAGAATTTATCAAATGTGATAAGACTTCTATCAAACTTTCTATTGATAATAGAGTGATTAAAATACTCTTGTCAGCGCTGAAAGATAAACAATCGTTCATTTATTTTTTTTATATGTATATGTAACGTGTTTCTCCGTTCATTTCTACAACAAAAATTTTATTAAAATGCTTATGAACTTTTTCTCATCGTATTTCTTTTATTGACAATTAAATTTGTTGTTTAGTTAAGGACATTCCAAGACTACATGGATTTGCAAGGAGTCTCAATGTTTAGAAATGTAACAATCTAAGAATCAATGTGTCTCATAGATTAGTAACAGCGGCTCTAGTTCAGTACAGTCACAGTAATCGAATTCAAAACATTTTTGTTTGAATTTCATCGTGGCAACGGCAATAGAACGTTTTCAGTTGCAACGAATATTTCATCTTTTCCAGGGTTTTCTTATCTCGGCAGTGAGGATTCTTTGTTATGTGTTTGTTTGAAAAACAAAACCATGAAACTTACCAATTTGTTCTTGTACAAGATGTGAAAAATTATCAAGTTTAACTTCTAATGGTTTTTGAGCTAATGAAATAACTAATTGTAAACATGCGTGATGAAATTCACTCTTATAATAAAAATCAATCAAATATGTAATTTTTTTTATTATTAATAATTTACTTCTGGTGAATGATCTAATATAGGTTTATTATTAAAACGTTTAATAAGAAATTGAAGTAGATCAGCTTTTTTATCTTGTGCATGAATTATATATTTTTCTTTTAATCTAATCGATAATAATCAAAAAAACAAAAAATATTAAATAGCAAAAGAAAAATTAAGATAATATATCAAAAATACCCTCGAATATTTTTCTCAACTTTACTTTTTTCAACATTTATATTTGAACGATGTATAATTGCATCTTCAAATAATTTTTTATATGGATTAAATTTATCAGAAATCTAAATAAATTAAACTCATTTTATTTTTATTTTGTTTTTTGTAAAGAAATATCTTACAGTTAATTCAGTTAAATCATAAACTATATCATTAAGTGTTGGTTGAATTGATTTTAAAAAATTACTCATCTAAAAAGAAAATCAAATCCATAAAGATACAATTATTAATTCAATTCGATTGTCGAAAAAATGAATTCACTAAATTTGAAGTCAAAAAACTTTATTGATAATTGATCAAAACCAATCGACAATTCTTTACAACAACAGATGACGCAAGTTAATGACCATAACAATGGATCATAATGAATGACTACTTTTTTTTGCATGATATTTTTTTATAATATACAAAATTCTGTTCGATCAATTTTCGATGCTTGATACGCAATGAATTTCTTGTGTTATTTTCACAATTAAAGATTGATAAGTTTTAACTTTATTCCCTATTGCGTATTATTGGCGACAGCGTCTCATACATAATAATCCAAAATGTTGAGATCAGAATTATTTGTTGATCATCTGTGTTTAGCTATGAAACGTACGAAATACTTTGTGCAGCATGTCAATGTTTCCTAATATGTATGAAGCATTGCGTTGTCTTATCGATAGATGAAATTGTTGTCTAACAGCCGTTTACCTTCAGATTGAGCATGGCAAAAAAAAACAACTTCAATAGAATTCTCACATAATAATGCTTCCACATTACACGTTTGTTTGCGTAACCGCTGATTTGAGTCACATGAGTTTCATCAGATTCGAATATAATTAGAGACGTGCGACTATTTTTAAAAATGCCTAATCATCAGTAATTTCTTCAATGTGGAGACTGAGAGGGTGACACCCCTCCGAAAATCGGGTTAGCCTTTCTGAAGTTTTAAACCGCTCCTTCGGAATAGAAAATCTAGATAAAGTACCATTAGCCACGCCATAATTCTTTTTTATATATATTTAACCTTTTTATTTATGTTTTCTCATCAACTAGCAGCATAAGCACATTCTAATGAAAAGTACGCTACATTAAATGAATAGAATTTTACTCAATTGATGAGATGAAAAAAAAGCGAATTGATCGTTTACTAAAACTGATCTTGTTCATAGCATCGGAAATTGATCGAACAAAAAGTACATATATATGAAATAAGTTTTTTTTTGTAAAGTGTAAAGCTTTTGCTGGTATATCTGGTGGTATGCTTTGATCTGTAATAAAATGTATTAGTTGACAAAAAGATGACTTGCAAAAAGTGGCTGTTCATTATGGCTCATTCGTTGCTTTACTGACTTGGCTTGATTTGTATTTTATTTTCATAATCAATGCAAAATTATATGTTTTTATTGAGCTAAATAAATCCAATCATTTTCAAATACAGTAAAACTTTCCTTAATAAACACCTCCCATATGAACACGTGTCTCGGTCCCTCTGATCAATTTTTGCTATAAACAGACTTCTATACAATGAACACTTTTCTTGATACCTTCAGCAAAGAAAACCTCTATATAATGAACATGTGTTCAACAATGCATGCATGTATGTGTGAGAAAAGAGAAAAAACAAAACACAATGTTCACTCTGAAGGGATCCTAGGTCAATTCGTCAGTGGTCTATTTATCGTAGAACAAGAACAAAAAAAAATCAATAGTTCGCGACGAATTGTTCTGAAATAAATTGACCATCCAGCTGTAACGCAACAGCGCATTTATTTATTTGAAATAAAGAGATGATGATGAAGCGTATATTGACTCTTTCAGAAGAAATTGCGCAGCTGGACTTGCAATTCATTCAACTCTACATCGACATGAAAGCTTCGAAATAGAGGACGATGAATAATTATTTTCAACAAAGATTGCAGAAAAAGTCATGCACTAGATGAAAGATTTGGTGTCCTTGTTTGATTTATCTGCAGTGAACTTCACATGACTTGTGAAATCATCGATATAATTCTACTGATCATTGTATGCATGCAACAGTTCAATCTATACAAAACCTCTATCAGATGAACATTTTTTGGAAGGTCCCAATGGTGTTCATCTTATATAAGTTTTATTATATATGATTTAAGTGAATTAGCTTTAAATCCACATTGTTACAATTAATAGAATACATTAGTTCATCCTAGTTGGATGTAGATCAGAATAAACTATTTTATAACCAGTTTTCCTTATCAATGAAATACAGAAACATGTTTGGACATCATAAATAATACTTTGTACTACTCTACTAAGATAGTACTATGTTGAAAAGTGACAAACAGTTCTTTCGTTATATTGATTATTTGTTAAGAAAAAAAAATAAAAAATATATATAATTCCACAAAAAAAAAATATTTAATCAAAAGAATCTTATTTTTTTTCTCTAATCCTTACAATGGTGATAATGTGCGTACTCTAATCGATTGTCTATGTGAATAGGAATTTGGTACTGTTGCAATTGGAACCATTTCTCGAACAACTGATCGACGCCGATCTGGTATTCTATGTTGTGATTCAGATGAATGATATAATGGCATTAATCTCATATGTCTTTGTCTTTGATATGAAGGATTTGTAGTATTTCGTACAACAGTTGAACGAGGTATAATAATACGTTCTGGTGAATTTCTTTCTGTTGGTTGAAATGTTGATACAACCATATGATTATTATTTCTTCGAGGTTTAGTTTTTGGAGCTAAATCAACAAGTTGAACTTTAGATCGAGATAACCTATAAGAATTTCCATAATCATCATCATATTCATCATAAGGGTCATCAAGATAATAACAAACATCATTATGAACATTCGTTTGAATGACTGGTGGTCGTGAACCATAATCACAACATGAATAATCAATATATGGAACATTTCGTCTATATGAATAATCATTATAACATGGTGGAGTAAAATTATTCACAACAGGAATTGGTAATGGATCTAATATTTCATATGGTGAACAGACATTAACTCCATGGTGATGATGACGAGGATGATGATAATAAGGAAGAGGAGGATAAGGTGCACATACACCATTACACATTGCTCGATGTTGATGCATTACTTGTTGATGTATATTTTATTTTATTTCGAAAAAAAAGTAATAAGATTACCTGTGGTGAAGAATATTAAACTTTTTTTTTTCTTCTCTTTTCTTTTCAATATAATAACTAAGATGAAAAATTTTATTGATTGTATACATTGAACAATTCAAATCAATGATTTAGAAATTTTTAAGGATCAACTTTTATTCATATCATGCTTTTGATTGAAGAAAACAATAATGAAATATTCAGAAGTAATTATATATAGCAAAATAACAAGTAGACCCTACAATATTTTTCTTTTGATGATTTCTATCGTTATGTAATGGAAATAAATTTGCATTTAGATACGAAAATGAAGTGTCTATCACGCTTGTATAGAATAAAATTTTTGCGTTATTTCGTCTTGTTATAAGGGACTACCAAAATTTCTACAGAACGGCTCATGGGAAAAATTTGTCTTAAACTCAAAATGACCTCGCTTTCTCAGCTGCAACATATCCCATAGAGCTGAAACATTTTTTTTTACATACACTAGACACTGTTTGGAATGACCAATTTTTTTTGATTTTGTTTTTATCCTCTTTCATTCGAATAAAAAGAACAAAATGCGTAGAGCACTCCCGAAAAAAGATTTTTTTTCTCTAGCTCGATGCATGGAAAACTAGCTGCATTCACTGATGAAAAGGATCCATGACCAATGCTCTAAACATTTTTGAAAATGAGAAATAATCATCATCAATAGGGGAATTTTGTATAGAATAGAAAAATCATAGCGCAAGTATTTTTTTATAAGGATTTAATAAAAGTACTAAATAACAAGGAAGATTCCTCATTTATGGCATTTCACAGAGGACACGTCTTGGCTATGTTAGCAATGAAAAATCAGAAATCAAAAAAAAATTTTGATTTTCATTTCCAGAAAGAAAGAAGTTCCTTAAACCAGTGGATTTACCTATTGATAGTATATAATTGTGGAAGCTGTTATTTGTTAATAGGATTGCTTTCAAAACCAATATGACTAAAAATTGATACTTTATATTAAAATCAAAATTTTAGTATTTAATTTAGTCGTTATATATTTTTTGTCTCTTCGATATAAGTTATGATTGTGTAAAAGGTTTTGTTTCAAATAGAATAATTTATTGTAAATTAAAATACATCATAGTAGATAATAATTGCGAATTGTTTTCATTTTAAACTCTCTACACTTCCGTTTCAAAAATGTTCATTAACGTCACATTTATCAAAATTCATTGGAAGATAGTTCGCAGAGATGAACTCGGTTTGTGCTTTTTCGAAATCAAAACTATCTCATCTCTGGATAGTTAGAATTCGGATCTTTTCACAAATAATATGAGTGTTTATTTACTGCGTCATTTTTTTGCCCGAAAATTTTTAATAATTTCTATCACCTTCCGCTTGAAAAATATATTTTTCTGATTGCACGTATTCTCTAAAGTTCTCTTTAAGAACTTTATTGTAGCCTTTATTATTATATAAAAAAGTACTTCTAGAATTAGATGACCATTTTTTCGAGATATTCAACTTGTTATTCATTTTCTCCACATAAAAAGTAAAAAAGAAGTCTCTCTACTATAATCTCAACATATTCTGAAATTTTCATACGATTTAAATGTACTTCATCCGAGATCAATTGTTTTTAGAGTGCAAATCGCCTTAACAACAAATCTCATTGGGTTTTTTTTGTCATGAATATTTTTGTAATAATAATTATTAATCGTCAAATGTTTGTTTGTTTGCTAAACAAACAAAAAGAAAGAAAAGAAGAAGAAGAAGAAAATATTCAAATATCTGAATGACTAATCAACATACGACTGGCTAACTTCAGACCAATTAATAAACAGTAACATAGGACATTCACTCTATAATTTCAATGTTATTATGAAATATAATTTTCATTCAATTTTGAAATATGTCTTTATCGCAATTACCTTATTTAGTAAAAGAAAAAAACACAAATATAGTCATTGAATATAATTAATTGTTAAAAAAACATGTGTTTTTCAATGTCTTATTCGTTCATTTTTCTTTCGTCTGATTCACGTCTTTCCTTATTTGGTCATTTAAATGGTCGAATCAACTTTTCGTCTGCGTAGGC